TTTGTAGAGCAGATGATCGTTGCCACTTTTTTTAAAAAGTATGAACATGTCAAAAATCATTTTTGAAAAATGCATGAAATTCCAACATAACTACGTAAGACTGGTCACCAAAATAGGCAACATCTCCCCATTTTTAATTATTTCTCGCCTCTGGGAATTTATTTTAAATTTCTGGACGACAAATTTTACAGTCAGTGAGTTGATTAATGTATGGCGCTGAGTTTTTTTAGCCGGTTTCGATAAGTTACATTTTTTCTGAAGGCTTCCTAAACTTGAGATCTCCTCCTTCAAAAAGTGTCAAAATCTGGAGTGTAGATTTCCTAAAAATTGGCAACGACCTGCTCTACAAATTCGTCGTCCAGAATTTTAAAATGAACTCTGAAAATATACACCCAAAATTTTGACCCTTTTTGAAGGAGGAGATCTCAAGTTTAAGAAGCCTTCAGAAAAATTGGAACTTATCTAAACTGGCTCAAAAAAACTCAACGCCATTCCATTAATTAACTCACCGACTACAAATTTGTCGTCCAGAATGTTAAAATAAATCCCCAAGGCTGAAAAATAATTAAGACAAAATGGTAATTTTGACGATTTTGACAACGAGTCATCGACCCCTTCGTTGCCTCACCTTTCCTCCTCAAATAGTAATCCAAACCTCCCTTACTTCGATTAGAGATCATATAAGAGAGAAAATTGAGAGGTTTTGTCTTAAAATTCTGTCCATATTTCGGCGGAAGTAGCCACGAGAGGAAGATATAGTTATTCTCCCAGGTGGGTACGAGGTCATAGGTCAAGTTCCACTTTTTCCCGTCCACAGCCGGCACGTCGAGATACTTTTTTATTTGTGCAGCCCTCGGGGAAAGCAGGCCGGGAGGGGTCCTCGGAATTTTGGAAAAGTTCGCGACCACTTTCTCCACCAAAACGTCAAGTGGTTCCGGACCCAGGATGATGATGGACATGTTGTCCCCGACGTAATGGCGTCGCTGCCAATCGAGCGCTAATTGGCCAATGTTGGAGGCCTGAAGGCAGAGGGAAATTAATTTATGATTAAATTTGCGAAATAATTTGGTCCAAGTGTGCAAAAAATTTTTGCCAAAAATTTAGTTGGTCGTCTTACATCGAGGGTGGCTCCATGACCAAAAGAAACTTTGGAGAGTGGGTGGTCCTCATTCGCTAAATGGTGCAGGATTCCTGGAAATTAAATTCGAATTAATTTTTATTAATCAAGTTAATTAACAGAGGGCGGATATGGAAATTGCATTTAATATTTATGAAAAACACGTCAATATATTTACGAAATACGTACGAAAAAACAAGGATTTTCGCATAATGTAAATTAATTTTTGAATTTAATCATGGGTTTTTTTGTGGTAGAATTTCTTTAAAAATTTCGTCTCAAATTGTTGAAATATTTTTAAAATATAAGTATTTTTGAAAAACTATGTAAAAGATTTACATATTTTTTTAAAAATAATGACGGAAATATTTACATGTCTGAAAATATTTGAAAATATTTTAAAATTTATTTATGTGACCTATTCGAGTTAGGAAACACACGCACCTAAAGTTTGATCATCAAATGAAACAATTGAAAATAAATACATATCCGCCCTCTATGAATTATTTAAATGAGGAGCAATTAATTATTAAATTTTAACCTCGATATCGGGACGAGTCATGCATCCAAAGCCTATAAATTACACAGATTGTCAGACATCACTTAAAATTAGTTCAAAATTCTACTTTAAAATACCTCCAAAATTCCGAATTCAACGCATTAATTTCATTCTGAATATCCTTATTTTTCCACAACGGATTAACTATAATGTCCACGAAACGATCCAACGCTTCATCAATTCCTTCCACATCAAGCCCGATTTCATAACACGTGAATTCCGCCGGCGTCGTGGCGTTCGTGTCGCCATTAAATTTTTTCACGAATTTCGTCAAACCTTCCATTTCCGGGTATTTCTTTGACCCGAAGAAGGTCAAGTGTTCGACAAAATGCGCAATCCCGGGTCTCGTATCGTTCAGCAGACCCGATCCGAACGTGGCGACGACATAGTATTGACCATCTTGGAGAAGATTGTGCTCCACCTTTTTCATGGATAGGCCAAAAAAATACATTGTCCAATTTTCCAGTAATTTGGTCTCCGTTCTTCCAATTGTTTGGATTTGCAGGGCCTTTAAAGCGGCAAAAAGTTGCGAATCTATATGGAGAATACAGCAGCCATTAGAAATATCATACCTGTTCACTTTCATTCATTTGACTGACTTATGATAGAGAATGATACTGAATGAAAATGAATTTCCTGTGATTTGAATGAAAATGAATTTCCTGTGATTTGAATGAAAATGAATTTCCTGTGATTTGAATGAAAATGAGTGAAAGATTCCGTCATTTCAGATGAATGACTGTGAATGAAGGATTTTTCATTTCTTTCATTTTTCACGCTATGGTTAATACATGGGACGAAGTAAGAAATGAAATCAGATGAAGTGAAATGAAATGAATTTGAACGAAAATGACATGAATGTGAATGAAAATCTTCACTCAGAAATCGGGATGACTGAACTTTGAATGAGAAAAGTTTTTTTGAACAGGTGTTATGTGTAGATTCTCACCTTTGCAGCTTTTTTAAGGACCCTGCAAATCCAAACAATTGGAAGAAATTTCTGTAATTGGACAATGTAATTGACGTCGGAGGGGAAGCAATATTTTTCTCCAGGGTGGAGCCACGTGCGCCGTCCCCATCGAGAAGTGGGCCGCGTTAAAGTTGGCCACGTGGGTTTGGACGCAGGCCCCTCGTCGCGCGACGGGGGGATTTTTTCCATACATGGCGGAAATGCAGAGCGCCTTGAGTCCATTGGGGAGTCCGATGGCTTTGTAGTCGAGTGGGTCAAGGGGGGACTTGATGATGTCGGGGTATTCTATGTATTCTGCCATGGGGGGAATTTTTGTGGGGGCTTGTTCTTGTGTGACGAAGGGTTGGTTATGATTTGGGAGAGGTGGTTATCATTATGATAAGTAGAGTACAGCTTGCCTTTGGTTGAATTAATTGTGTGCAAATTTGTGCATAATTTGACAAAATCAGGGAGAAAAATTATTGCGTAATTTTTACGTCGTAATCAACAAATATGTGTAAAATACAAATGTAACGTAGTTACGAAGGTTAAAAACGCGAAATTTTTATTTTTTTTGTTTTCATTTTCTAACCATGGAAGATTTTTTTTTCGAAAGTTTCCCATCTTTTTGGTCCAAGCTGCTGCATGAAATTGTGGCATAATTTTTGTAGAAAAATGTAAAATATAAATAAATATTTTTGCAGAAGGATCAATAAGAATGCTTAGAATTGGGTTTAAGTAATTCTTCTTAGTAACCGTCAACCGTGTTAATATAATAATTGGTGAAAATAGAGGTTGCATAAGGTTCACTTGATTACTACTCTAAACAATGAGTAAACTACTCAATTTTACTAGTTTACGCAATTTGCATGTAAATATCTATAAATAGTTCACTTATTTAATCTGGGTGGATTATTCGGTGTCAAATTTGAAAAATTCCTGTCAAAGATATTTTACCGATGTCAGCAAATTCATTGTGTAATTTATCTAATTCTGCAAAGATAGCACCTGCATAGAAATTACTATACACTAAATATTTACTCGCCTATGTATGTATGTATGTAAATATGTACATATATGTACCTATCTACGTACATACATATTTTGCTACTTGTCCATAAGTGTATATATGTAAATATGTACATTGTGCATACTACGCTCTAAATACATAATACTGGCCATGCAATTATTCCACTTGGCTGATAAGCCCACAGCAGATGGACAAACCCGACTTAAGCTTGACATCAGGACCACATTATCATAATCAGTGGTGACTGATCGATTTGGTTTTCTCGCTCAACTGTAAAAAAGTGGGATTTGCATACGTATACGTTAAAACCTTAATCTAATGTATGTATTATGCATTTAGACTGACTAAATTGTGGTTGTGCAGATAGTAATTAAATAATTCCGCATGCACCATCATCGTCATCCTTGACCTTTCTCGTCGAATCTTGAAATGCACTCTGAAAGTTATTTATTATACGTCAAGCCAAAAGGTGATAAGTTGATGGGCATGGATTGGATTTTTTTTAGAGACGACGTGCTAACTAAAAATGCAGCTGAAACTTGACTGTTCTGTTCTTCGTCTGGAGTCTGATTCATCTCAATCCTCACTCGCCACCTAAACTAACTCATCCGTCAATGTCTTGCATATTTTATGACTTAATCCCACCTCTCGCAAATTTAGGATTGTGCATACGCGAACTTTGCTTGGCTGCAGTGGCCGCGGAAGGGGGTGGACAATGTCCCCACGTTTGTTCCATCATAAATCATCTGTCCATTTTATATAAACCCCTTTTTCCTGTATTACGCAATGGTAACGTTCCCACACTGTAAATTAAGTTGAGTAAAATTGCCACCAAAGCAACTGTTGAGCAAAATTTACTCTGAGAAAGGTAAAATTTACTCAAGGTTGAAAGATTTTTGGTCAACCTTGAGTAAATTTTACCTTTATCAGGGTAAATTTTACTCAATAGTTGCTTTGGTGGCAATTTTACTCAAAATTGAGTAAATTTTAAGCAAATTTATTTAGAGTGCACATGTCCCCGTCCCCACGGCTTCCGCGGCCACTGCTCACGACCATGTTAGTGCATTTATCCGTACCTCACTCACTCATTCACGACCAGTGGCCGCGGAAGGGTGTCGAGACAGAGGGGCAATGTCCCCACGGTTATCTATTCAATGTCCGCATCATCCCTTCATCTTATATAAACGTCTCCATCCCCTATCCTACAATGTTAATGTCCCCCGGTGTCCCCACGGCTTCCGCGGCCACTGGTTGACAGGGAAATTTAGGGATGGATTGTGCATACGCGAACTAGTCGACTTTGCCTCTTTGGGAGCAAAGTTTAATGAGGATGCGTCCGTATAAAATCCTGGGTCAGGAGGACGCCACGATCTCACTTGTTCGCCACCCACCCGTTTAGTCACTCGTCAGGTTTTTTCCTTGTCCAGTTTTTCTGAAAATGTCTTTCACCGGAAAGTTTGAGCTCGTCTCGAGCGACAATTTCGACGAGTATTTGAAAGCTTGTGGTAAGAATTTCAAAAATTACAGATATTTTCATAAAAATTCAATACATTTAAATTCTTGCAATTATTATTATTTGCATAGGCGTCGGTATGGCTAAACGTGCCCTCGCTGCTACGGCAAAACCAACGATCGAGGTGAGTTAATTACTAACTGCTCAGTGGCCGCGGAAGCGTGGGGACCGGGGGACGATGTGCCTACGGTTATTTGATGTCCTCATGTCATCTCCCCACGTTACATCAACCCCCTGTAATGTTACCTTCCCCACATTTCCCCACGGCTTCCGCGGCCCCTGTAACTGCTCAAAAGTGACACATTGAAACATTTGCATAATTTACACAGATCAGCGAGGCTGGTGGCCTTTTCACGATGAAGACTTCGTCCACCTTTAAAAATACGGAGATCAAATTCAAATTGGGGGAGGAATTTGATGAGGAAACTGCCGACGGGAGGCAGGCCAAGTCCACCATGACCGCCGATGGTACATACATATTTGCATATTTACATAAGTGACATGCTAAAATTATAGCATATTTAATTGACAAATTAGGAAACAAATTGATCCACTCGCAAAAAATTGGGGACGACTCGTCCGTCACGGTTCGCGAATTTAGCGGAGATTCTCTCAAGGCCAGCTTCACCGCGAAGGGCGTCACGGGCACCCGGGTGTACAAGAAGGTTTAAAAGAGAGGTGCGTGTCTCGTACATTTTTGCAAAAAAAAATACGAAATTCCGTTAAAAATGTTCTTTTTTTGTTTGCAGACTAGTCAAAATTTCTTATGTTTCGGATCATCGTGACGTGTCTAAAAATGTGGTCTGCGTTACATCATATTCATCTCAATACATAATCGTGACACATGTATTTTTGTCTAAAAACTGGTTGAAACATTGCCAAAAATAAAAAAAAGTGAAGATAAATTTTCAAAAATTGTATATTTATGGAGAAATTTTCATGAAAATTCATATTTCTTTTTTCATTCATTTCTCATAAATACATATTTCAGAATAATTTTATTAAAATATAAAAAAATTAGTGGGTCGCATTTCTTCCATTTTTGGGTGGTACATTCTCATCTGACGGCGTAAAATTGATTGCAAAATAGATAATTTAAGAGTTTTTATGCTATTTTTATATAATAATTTTGTAAAATGGAAATTACAGATTTTTGTGTTAAAAAGACCTGATTTTGTAATTGGTAGAGTTAAACGCCGATTTCTTTTTTGTATGATTTTGACAAATATTTAAATTTTATATGCAGATATCGGTTCGGTTGTATCTTTCTCTAAAAAATAAAATCCAAAAAAACTGAGGTTAAGAAACTGAGTTTAAGAAAACTGAAACTACAAGTTTTTTACTCAGAAAGTTAAACACTGATAAGAAATTAGCACAGGATTATGGTAAAATTCAAATTGAGATTCAAGTATGAGCCAAAATACATTTCAGAATTTTATGTAAAGTAGAAAAATCAGCAATAGGGTCACATTTTTCGTATGTTTTCGGGTGATCGTCTCCTCTGATCTGATAGATCGTTCATTTTTACCTACAAATTGGAAAAATTAAGAGTTTTAATTTTTTATATACATATAATTGTTTTAGATTGAATGGAAACTAAAGATTTTAAAGAAATGAAATTAATTTTTTCCATTGCATAAGTTAAACGGCGATTCTTTTTATACGACTTATAAACATAAACTAGTTATGTACAGGTACGATTGGTACACGTCTCTAAAAAATAAAGAGATCAAACAAAAAAAAACGGAGATTCAGGATATGAAATGAAATTGCCAGTTTTTACTCAGAAAGTCAGACACTGATAAGCATACGGGTATACGGAAGCAACCCGCCCACGATCTCCCGCCCGCGTTCTTCCGCCCATTTACTCCCGCCCGTGGAAATCTTCCGCCCTAATCATCACCCGCCCGTAGTTTTTTTTCGAGTATAAGATTTGTTTAGCATTTAACATCACTCATGTAACCCGTTAAAAGCACAGTCAGTACACTTTTACAAAACGAAAAATAACAACACGGGAAATAATAATGAATGAATACATTACAAATCGGACAACCTCACTTAAATTAATAAAGAAGGACAAAAATCATTACAAACGAATAATCTAATTAGACAAATTTTCGAATTATTCAAATTATTAATTGCAAATTATTCAATGAATATATACAAGAATATTTGTGCAACATACAGGTACAGGAAATGAAATACATATGCCACAACCTTTTTCCTAATAATAAGTTGCCTACCGTATCCGATTCCGATAATTTGTATAATTAGATTATTCGTTTGTAATGATTTTTATCCTTTATTAATTTAATTGAGGTTCATGTCCGATTTGTAATGTATTCATTATTATTTCGCGTATTGTTATTTTTCGTTTTGTAAAAGTATACTGACTGTGCTTTTTACGGGTTACATGATTGATGCTTAATGCTGTTGACTAAATAAATACTTATATATATTAACTTAAATATGTTGTGTTATGTATTATTATTATATGTTAACAAAAAGATCAGGTACTCAAAAAAAATTACGGGCGGGAGATGATTTGGACGGGAGATTTTTACGGGCGGGAGAGGGTCAACGGGAGTCGGTGGGCGGAAGATTTCCACGGGCCGGTGTAAATGGGCGGGAGTCGGTGGACGGGAGATTTCCGCAAATTAACCCTGACAAATTATCATACGTCGGATATGAATGAAAAATTACTTTTTCCATTTATTGACCTATAGTCGCCAAACTTTCTGAGAATATTTATGGTCACTAGTAGGTCACGTAGGTCAAAGCATATTTTCTCATATTGGTCATATTTTCGGGTTTTGGGACATATTCATATTCCCGATCATATTTCGGGGTTTTTTTCGTTCATTTGATCATTTTTGGCAAAATTCTAAGATTTGGCAACCAAATCGACAGAAAATGACAAAAATTCAGTTTTCTCAAAATGATTCATTGTGAGAAACTTTCAGAAATTTACGTTCACTTTCGCATAAGGTGATTTAATTCATTGCGAATTAATTAAATCACCCCGGAACTTGTTTAATTGATCAAAATTGAGAATTACAAGAAAATATATCCAAAAATTAAGCCAAAAATTTTAAAAAAAGTCATTTTTATGGTCATATTTTGGGGATTTTTACGGTCATTTTTCATTTATATTTTGAGGTTTTATCAGTCATTCATATCCGACGTCTGCTGATAAGAAATTAGCACAGGATCATGATCAAACTCAAATTGAGAAGCACCAATTTAAGATTAGCTATAAACTTTAAAATATTTACATTTCAGAATTTTGTGTAGAACACAAAAATTAATGTGGGTCGCATTATTTCGTTTCAAGTGGTGCGATAGTTCATTTTCCACCTGAAAATAGAAAAATTTAGTTTTGAAACCATCGTTTAAATTATTTAAATTTATAATTCTTTCAAGAAGGAATGAAAATTACAGATTTTTGCGTGGCGAAAGAGAATTGATTTTTTAATTGAAAGAGTTTTACGTCAGAGGTTTTTGTAAGACTTGAAAATATATCGATTTGGAATTTAGATCTGATGAAATATTTTTTCAAAAGTAAAGAAAAAAAGAGCAAAAAACTCTCAGATTCAGGAAATTTCCATTCAAAATATTATTTTTGGAAGTAACATAAAAAATATACAAAAAAACGAAGGGAAATTTCAAAAGAATGGATGACAAATTTGAAATGGCAGAAAAATTAACGATTTTTGCTTGTCGAATAATTTTTTTATAATTCATTTTTAACCTGAAATTGAAAAAATTAAGTTTTAAAGCCATTTTTTGAAATGATTTACGTGCAATTGTTTCAAAACTGAATTAAAATTGCAGATTTTTGCATGGCCAAAGAGAAACGATTTTGTATAACTCATTTTTAACCTAAAATTGGAAAAATTAAGAGGTTTAAAGTCTTTTTTGAAATGATTCACGTTTCAAAACAGAATACAAATTACCGATTTTTGCGTGGCGGAAGATAAACCGTTTTTTTAAGCGTTAAACGCGATTTTGTTTTGTACGATTTAAAATTCAATTTCACGTTTTTTTCATGCCTCCTAAGTATTTCAGAATTTTATGTAAAGCACACATGTAAATAGCTCATTTTCCTCGTAAAATTGGAAAAAATTAGTTTTGAAGCCATTGTCGAAATAATTTTTGTATAATTGTTTCAAGACTGAATGAAAATTACAGATTTTTGCGTGGAGAAGAGAAATGATTTTTTAATTGGAAGAGTTTTACTGCGAATTTTTTTACAAGACTTGCAAATATATAAAATTTATTTGAAGATTTGCAGGTACTGCGAGAGGAGTGTTAGATTCAGGTTAAGAAATGAAATTACAAGTTAAAAAATACTATTTTTGAAAATAATATGCAAAATATACAAAACGAAGGCAAATTTTCAAAGATTAGGTGAAACTTGGTGTCTTTTTCATCTTCCCTTTTATAAAAATTCACATTTCATAGAATTCATGTTTCATCATAGAATTTGCATATTTCTCGCTAAAATTTCCCGAAAAAAATGCAAATTAAGGGAGACTAACGTTGCCTAGATACTTCTTAAAGTCAATCAATCGTGCATGGCAAGATTATTTGACACTTTATCAGTCTATAAGGTTACGACAAATGGCCGAGTTACAAAATAAATTTACATTTTTATTAGCCCGAGGCAGGGCTTATGGAAACGTCATGTCCGTCCGTCCGTCTGTCTTTCGATAACTCTTTAACGAGCTGACCGATTGACTTGAAATTTTTACCATGTGTGTACATATTGGACAAGTTAGGAAACGAGTTCGAAGACGGACGAAATCGGTCAAGTGGTTGACCGGTGAGGGTCATGTGAGTAGGTGGGGTAAAATTTCGAAATTTCAAACTTGTCGTAGAAAACCGAAATTTGGTACAGAGGTAGCTAATGACTTCTAATAGAAAAAAATGAATTTAAGTTGGAAAAATTTTCATCTTGAGGGACCCTATAGAGTGACCCATACTGGTTTTTCAAAATGGTCATATCGGGCTGAAATTTGGTAGACATGTTGCTTTTGCTTATTTGTCCTAATGGAAGAATATGAAATGACATTGGTAGAATTTTTATCTTGAGGGACCCTATGAGGTGACCCACGCCGACTAGAAATTGCTTTAAAAACATGAAATCCGGCACGGTGATGCTTTATGGCTTCTCATTAAAGAATATGAAGTTATATAGAATACCAAATAATAGAAAATATCTAATAAACATTTAACCATCCGCACCACAGAGGTTGGTAATATTATTATGTCGGTGAATTCGAAGAAAATAGAAGTGAGCTCGGACTCACCGAGTCAGGGACAGAATCCCTGACTCGGACCAATGGAGTCTGCACCAGCCTTCACTCTCTGCTCGGACTTCTCAACCTGCTGGTCCGATCAGAGGTTCAGCAGTCCGGGCAGAGAGTGAACACTGGTCTGCACTGCAGATTTCAAAAAATAAAAGTTGCTAAAATATATGTAATACATGGGTTATATTACAATGGGAAATCTAATTTTTAGGCCTTTTCAGATGGGCTTATATATTTTTCAAGATGCCTGTCTGTGTGCACGATAACTCTCTTTAAACACAAGATAGCGCCCGAAATTTTGCGAAGTTCATCTTCGGGTCAAAAGTAAGGATGAGTTCAAAGATGGGCATGATCGGTTAGGTCGGTGGGGGTCTTTTAAGTGGTTAGGGACTGAAAAAATTTCAAATGTCATAGAAAAGTCCCAAATTTGTCGTAGGAAATTGAAATTTTGACAACGGGTGAGACCGTAGGGACTAATCCATACAGATTTTTCAAAAATATGCCACTCCACCAGTCAATGGTCGTTTTGACCGACAACCGCAACGCCTGACTCGGGCTAAATAAAGGCTGCACATTGGAAATTTCAAGTTTACTATTAGACATAATACCCTCGAGATTTTTAGCTTAAAAAATCAATCAAAAAATTACGATGATTTCATCTTTCAGAATTAAATCTCTATGTTTGCCCATTCAAAAGTTATTAAAGGTCAAAGTAGTTGGTGTCTGTGCGATGGACTTCAGACACCAATGATTTTAAAAATAATTATTTTATTTGCAACTCGACCATTTGTCGCAACCGTTAAAGGAGACGCGTTACCTAGATACTTAAGGTCAAGCAATCGTGCGTGCATGGCTACAAACTCACGTAAAAAAACACAGACGCGCCACAAAGCATGAAAGAATCCAGACAAAAGTTATCAGTAAATTAGCAGGTGCATGCACTTCAGGCAAATGTGCATTTTCAAATTTCATGTTTATACGATTCCAAAATTCTTTGCGAAATGAGTCTACACCTCGACGAGTACTTTGCAATCTGCGAAATTCGTCCAGAAATTGGGCGCAACAGGTTTGAGGAGCCGGACGAAAGTGAGGAAAGGTATGTAGGATGCCAATTTAAAACTGGACATAAATAAATTTAATTAATCTATTACTCATTCGTAAAATGATCAAAGTCATCACATTTTTAATCATTTCTCGCCTCTGGGAATTTATTTTAAAGTTCTGGAAGACAAATTTGTAGAGAAATTCGTTGGCAATTTTTTATAGAAATGTACACTTCAGATTTTGACACTTTTTGAAGGAGGAGATCTCAAGTTTAAGAAACTTTCAGAAAAATTGGAGCTCATCGAAACTGGCTCAAAAAACTCGACGCCATTCCATTAATCAACTCACTGACTACAAATTTGTCCTTCAGAATTTTAAAATAAATTCCCAGGGCAGAGAAATGATTAAAAATGTGTGGATTTTGGCGATGAATCCTCCGATAAGTGGGTTATTTTATTTCTGGTTGATATACAAATAAGGTATGAAAGCATCCGCCGAATTTTCGACAACTTGTGCTTCATCCGGAAACAGAGAGTCTTGAATTCTCCAGACAATGAGAAAAAGTTGGAAATCTTGTACTCCACGCCACGCTCGGTGGCACATCGGGCAAAGTCCTCGCCGGCTGTCGACCTCAGCCCGGAACTCAGAGCGAGGACGGCCGAGGCTCGCATGGACTTTGGAAATGTTCCGGTACATACGATTTAAATTTTTCTACTGGATTTTTAATGGGGAACATATTTTGCCAAAATTTGAGTTCCGTTCTTCCCAGGGTTTGGATTTCCAACGCTGAAATAACCACAAAAAGACGGAAATCTACGTGGAGAAGACAGCAGTCGGTCAAAAATACGAGTTTTGTTAAGAAATTGACTTTTTGTCGCTGTCAGAATGCACTTTTTTCACGATTTTCAAAAAATATTTCAAAAAAAGTATTTTTGCAGCGATAAAAAGTTAATTTATTCAGAAAATCTGTATTTTCCTACGACTGCTGTGTTCTCCACGTAGATTTTCGTCTTTTTGTGGGTGTAACACCCCCGGAAATCCAAACCCTGGGACGAACTGAGCTCAAAATACTGATATTTTGACCACGTTTGGTTTTTAATTGCGAAAAACTGTGTTGGCTCCCGCAGGTACAATTTTTGCAATCTCTCGGCAACTATTTGGACCACGGAACATTGTTGAGGTGTCGATTAGTGTGCCACTCTTGGAATCAGGGGATGACCACGGGATCGCCGGCAGTGCTCTTGGATAGGACCGTGTTCCGACTGAACCAGTCCCTCGATCTGGTGGAACGTTGTAACACGCAGGTTTTTTAAATAAGATTGCCAGTGTCCGCGGAAGGTGTGGGGACATCTGGGGACATAAACATTGTAGGGAGGGAGACGTTTACATAACATGGGGAGATGATTTGGACTTCAAATAATCGTGAAAACATTGTCCATCTGTCCCCAGGCTTCCGTGGTCACTTATGAAAACCGCAGATTTATAAAATTATGAAAACCAGTGGCCGCGGAAGCCGTGGGGACATCTGGGAATATTAAAATTGTAAATTAAATTGTTAGAAAAGGGAATAGACGTGTTTATAGAACACGGGCAGATGATGCGGATATCGATTATCCTTGGGGTCATTGTCCCTCTGTCCCCACACACTACCGCGGCCACTGAGGATACCATGAGGTCAAAAGGTCATGCATAATTTTGGTGTCAATTTATAACTCTCAGGTGAAATGGCGTCACGTCAAAACTTCATTTTTCCCCTGTATCGAAACCCAATCGGTTTATCATCAGAAATATTTGGTCAATAAACTCCACCAGGATGCCATGAATAATAACAAAGAGCGAAAAATTGGACAATTTTCACCTCTATTTTGTCGCGTTACAAGTCTCACCGTGACAAATGTGGAGCTCAGCAAGGATTGTTTTCTCAAGTTCGTAAAAAATATGCAAGTTTTATGGAAAATAATTTAATGTATGACTAATCACCAAAATGGTCAAAATCAGCACATTTTTAAGCATTTCTCGCCTCTGGGAATTTATTTTTAAATTCTGGACGACTAATTTGTAGAGCATGAAATTGCCAATTTTTTAAAGAAATATACACTCCAGATTTTGACACTTTTTGAAGAAGATCTCAAGTTTAGGAAACCTTCAGAAAAATTGGAACCCGTCGAAACTGGCTCAAAAACTCAACGCCATTCCATCAATCAACTCACCGACTACAAATTTGTCGTTCAGAAATTTAAAATACATTCCCAGAGCTGAGAAATGTTTAAAAATGTGCAGATTTTTACAATGTTGATGGTGATAGATAAGTCATCGAGTCCTACGTTAATTTTGATCATATACAATTTTTAGATGGCTGACCACCTGTGCGTCTGGCACCCTGCGAACCGTCGAGTTCCACTCGTGCGTTGTAAAGAAGTCTAAAATCATTTGGAAAAGTCGGGGTGGCGAGAAAGGTTCGGAAACCGGAGGGATTTCGACCCTTAAAGGAAAAAATATGAGCTTGGCGTCACTCGTGGAATTTGGCACGATCATCCTCGTCGTTTCGAAGGCGTTAAAAGTTTTGGAAATTGGGGTCCGCCAAACGCACGAGGTAAGCATTTTAAAATTTTGATCATAATAAATGTGAATTTATGAAAATCAGCATACCTGTTCAAAAATTTAGTTTTCATTCAAAAGTCAGTCATCTCGATTTCTGACTGAAGATTTTCATTCACATTCTGTCATTTTCGTTCAAATTCATTTCATTTCTCTTCACTTGACTTCATTTTTTACTTCGCCCCATGTATTAAGCATTTGGTGAAAAATGAAATGAGTGAGAAATCCTTTCATTCACAGTCACTCATCTGAAATGACGGAATCTTTCACTCATTTTCATTCAAATCATAAGAAATTCATTTTCATTCACTATCATTCTCTATCATAATCAGTCACGTGAATGAAAGTGAACAGGTATGCTTACAAGTAATTATTTCCTTTCACCCGAGACACTCCTGAAAATATCCACAGATTCAGCGGATCCGCAGAACTAAACTGGAAACGGACCTCAGTTCCGTGCTCCTCGAAATAGTAACCACGCACGGAAGATCACTGGAATCAGTGGAGGTCACTTTGCCCCCATTTTCCCAGGGGGACGGATTCTGCCAACTTTTCACCCGACTGGGAGCATGTGTCTGGCCGAAATTGGAAAATTTTGGGTTTACCGTGATCAAAAATGGGGACGAGAAGGTCACAATTTTGAACCCGAGGGAGCTTGGATTTTTGGGGTATGATCATGTCACCCGGATTGTGGAGAGATTGGTCCGAGGAGGAAAACTGAAGCGGTTAAGTGTTCCATTCTGGGTTTGTAAGGTTCGGAAATACATTAATTAAATTAATTACCAGAGGGCGGATATATATTTGTTTTAAACTTTTTCATATAATGACGACGGACGATCAAACTTTCTAAGAAAAATTTCAAAATATTTCTGCATATTATTGCATAGACCTAGGTTCTCAGACATGTAAATATTTCTGCCATTATCTGAAAAATACTCGAGTCGTTTCCATATTTTTTTCAAAAATACAAACTTTTTGTAAATACTTGAACGATATAAGTCGAAATTTTTCTACTCAAAGAAATTGGACCGAAAAAAATCCAGACCATGATATTCAAAAATTTTACGAAAATTCTTATTTTTATATTTTTAACAAATTTAGTAAATATTTTGACTTTTTTCGTAAATTACGCATATATTTTGTAAATATTTCAAAGATGTGAGACGAAATTTTTTGCTCAGAGAAATTGGACTGGAAAAAATCTAGAATATTTAATGATTCAAATTTTGCGAACATTATTATTATTTTTTTTGGATATATGTATTTGGTAAATATTTTGGCGTTTTTTTCGTAAATATTCAATTCATATTTTTGTAAACTTATAGGGTGTGATTTTTAATGTTAAGACCACCATGATATTTCTAAGCAGCTCAGTTCGTGTTTATTCAAATCGAATGATATTATGCATGGTGATGAGTGATATCACTACCAGTTCTGGTGGTAAGTTTTGGTTGAGTAAGTTAGGAATTACCGGGGATATGGAGGAATTGCTGAAAAGTAGGTGAGCCAAAATGATAAGACCACCTTCGAATTTTAATTCTCACTCGTTCCTCCTTTTGTTCACACGGTAAAACTAAACTAATTCCACGATAGGAAGGTGAAATCATTCAGGTACTGCAACTTGACGTCCAGGAAAAAACCGGAAGAGAGATTTCAAGACGTTTTTCCCACTCAAAAACGGCAATTCATCATTATATCTAACAAGGCGCAAATTACTGGACCAGAAAAATTGGTATATGTCCAGAAATCACACTGGACCAGACAAACGGTAAATTGTGTAATTGTAATTGTAAGTATTCTAGCGTTTAATAGCCATTAAACCGAGAAATATTGCAAATTTCAAATGACAAAATTTCCATTAGCACATTTCGGCTCGTTTTATGGAACTTTTCTTGCATTAAGTGGTACCAATAAGTCGGTCAGCCACCACCAGCGACTATGCACAAGCGGATGAGACCTGAATTTGCTCGATTACTTACAATTACAATTACACAATTTACCGTTTGTCTGGTCCAGTGTGATTTCTGGACATATACCAATTTTTCTGGTCCAGTAATTTGCGCCTTGTTAGATATAATGATGAATTGCCGTTTTTGAGTGGGAAAAACGTCTTGAAATCTCTCTTCCGGTTTTTTCCTGGACGTCAAGTTGCAGTACCTGAATGATTTCACCTTCCTATCGTGGAATTAGTTTAGTTTTACCGTGTGAACAAAAGGAGGAACGAGTGAGAATTAAAATTCGAAGGTGGTCTTATCATTTTGGCTCACCTACTTTTCAGCAATTCCTCCATATCCCCGGTAATTCCTAACTTACTCAACCAAAACTTACCACCAGAACTGGTAGTGATATCACTCATCACCATGCATAATATCATTCGATTTGAATAAACACGAACTGAGCTGCTTAGAAATATCATGGTGGTCTTAACATTAAAAATCACACCCTATCCACTCTCTGCTAATTAATTATTTAATTAAAATTAACCTTGTTCGAGTAATTATCTAAATTGCGTAATTAATATCCTTAGGATCCCCACAGTTCTGAAAAGGCGTCGATCTTATACACCGCTTTGCTAAACCTGCATGAACTTGGGGCTCAATTTCGCCTCGTGAAAAGTGATAACGAAAATTCAGGAAACTTTGAAAATTTTGAGGTTGAAGATTTAGACAATCTTCAGAAATCTCGTGAGGTTGAGGTTAACAATGGGGTCAAGGAGAATAACTACGTGAATCCTCTGCTGTCCAAAATATTTGGCGAGGTGCCACGACTCTTGACTAAATTGGTCATTTACGGAACAGTTTTTCCAGGTTGGTAGAATTTTAAAATTTCAAACTTTCAAAATTTCAAAAATAATTACAAGTGAGGTCTCCCAGCGTATGTTCTCCGATTTTGCGCAAATTAGTGGGAATCGATCAGAAATTTAATCAGTATGAAATTTGCGAAAGACACGATCTCCCAATGGGCACGTTTGGCAGAGATATTTGCATCAGAAGAGGAGAAAACACGCAGTAAAGTTGGAAAGTGTAAAATTTGTACATTTCAGGACGCATTTTCTCCTCTTCAGATGTAAATATCTCTGACAAACGTGCCCATTGGGAGAACGTGTCCTTTGCAAGAATAGATTTTGTGCATAAATTCGGACCCAGACAGACTTAAAACTTGAAAATAAGGAGCTACTTTTATAAAAATGACGTGAATTTTTGTCCAAAATTGTTTCGCAAGCGTTCCAAATTTAGAAAAATCTCCTGTTCAATCTACCTTACACATTAATATATCAAATTTACTTAAAATAATTTAAACGGCGTTAAACATTAAAATTTCAATCGTTTACAAAATCAAGGAGAAAACACATCCTAAAGTTGGCAAATTTCCAAATTTACTGATCGTTTTCTCCTCTTCGGATGCACGTATCTCTGCAAAACGTGCCCATTGGGAGATCGCGTCTTTTGCAAATTTCGCACTTATTAAATTCGTAATCGATTTACACTATTTTGCTCAAAATCGGAGAGCATACGCTGGGAGACCTCCATTTTTAGTGAGAAACTACGTAAATTGAAAATTTCCTGATTTTTTTTTCCAGCCCGATTGAAAAGATGTTTCCCATTTTTGAAAGAACTCCGCATCGTCTCTGACATGGTCACTCCGACGGATTTTGTCCGGATTTTGGACGCTTTCCCAAAATTGGAGTCGCTTTGTATCTCCGAAGTTAAAGACTTTGAGGACGTCACTTTGATGGGGGTGGAACCCAAATTGATGCAATTCCTCAAAGAGAAGAGTTTATCCAGGAGGAAGAATAAAATGGAGAAAAATCATGCCCTTTTTCACCTTCAGAGTGGGTTAAAATTGAAAATTAATTAACGTAGGACTCAAAATCAGCACATTTTTAATCATTTCTCGCCTCTGGGAATTTATTTTAAAATTCTGGACGACAAATTTGTAGTCAGTGAAAGTTGATTAATGAAATGGCGTTGAGTTTTTTGAGCCAGTTTCGACGAGTTCCAATTTTTCTGAAGGCTTCCTAAATTTGAGATCTCCTCCTTCAAAAAGGGTCAAAATCTGGAGTGTATACTTTTTAAAAATTGGCAACTCCTTGCTCTACAAATTTGTCGCCCAGAATTTTAAAATAAATTCCCAGAGATGGTTACAAATTTTTCTGATTTTGACCATACATAAGTCATCGAGTCCTACCTCCTACGTTATATAAATTTGGCAACAATATTGTTCTAAAAAAGTTGAAATTTTTCCCAGATTTGCGAATTCTTCGCCTTCACGGAGCCATGGAGGTTACAGACATGGGAATTCTCCACTCTTTCACGGGAATGAAAAACTTGGAAATTTTGGAAATGTCGGGGTCAAAGTTAAATGTGAATATTTACATATTTAAGATTACACTGAGGCAATTCACGTCAACCTTCGTAATCACGTAAACTTACGAACTTAGGGTAATTTTTGCTTCCGAACTTACAAAACCTTGCGAAAATTTAAGGTACATACGTTTGGTTCGTAACCTTATCTTCGTAAGTTTACGAGGTTACAGAGTTACGAAGGTTGACGTGAATTGCGTCACTTTTTCGCGTAATTTTTTTACTAAATTGTTAATTACTTCTGAATCAGGTGAGTAACACGGGATTGGCGTATATTGCTGCAAATTGTCCCCAATTGCGTGAAGTGGTGCTTGACTTGAGCAAGGATACGATTGATGACGCTGGCATTGAGGCATTTTTGGGGCAGCTCCCACTCCTTCAGAAGCATCGAGGAAGGATCTCTGTCCTTTGAATTGGTTCAGAAACGATTAAAATCATGATTTTTCATTAGAAATATGTACGAGCAGATAAATAAATAATCGCAGTAAACCAACCCTCTAGTAACAGTTCTATCAATGAATCTCTTAATGTAGTGGGGAATATGGCATTTCAAAATTGTTTATTAAAGTCGCTTAGCATATTCATAAAATTGCACGATTAAAATTGCATAAAAAATTGCATTGATTCAATTTGCAATCAAATTAGTTATAGAACTAAAATTTAGTTAGAATTATTAGAATTAAACGATTATTGTGGGTATTTAATTTGAATTAAAAATATTTAATTTGAATTAAAAATATTTAATTTGAATTAAAAATTAGGATATTTCGAGCAGCCAAGTTACCCATAAGTGGAGAAGCTTTATTAAAGTAATATTTACGAATTCGCGTGAGCCCTTTGTCCCACTCCTTCAGAAGCATCGAGGAAGAATCTCTGTCCCTTGAATTGAATTTGAGAAATTTGAGATTAAAGTCACGATTTTTCATTAGAAATATGTATATATGAGCAGATAAATAAATAATCGCAGTAACCCAAGTTCTCGACTTTTTGATAAAAAATAGAAAATCCATCAATCTACTAATCTGTTGATAAAGTTGGAAATCTGTTGATAAAGTTGGAAATCTGTTGATAAAGTTGGAAATCTGATATTTCAGAATTTCTCATTAAAGTCGCTTAGCATGGGCATTAAAAAAATATTTTACGCGTCAATCACGGTTTTCTTCACGTCACCCGTGTACATAGATATTTACACAAATGTGGTAAATGCATAAATAAATAGAGTAACGATATTTTCAAAAATTTCATGCATCTTAAATATACTAACTAACGCAAGTTTAATGCGTCTTTTTCTTTCATGGAAATATTTTGTAATCAAATTAAATAGAATTACAGAGTTTAATTAGAATTAGAATTTAATTGGAATTAAAAGTCAGGATATTTCGAGCAGCAGGGTTACCAATGAAAAAACAAATGGATTGAATTGTTTACGAAAATTTCTTTAAAAAAGTATTATGTATGAAGGTCCTTCACGTGAACCCTTTGTAAACCGGCGAATATTTTATACGAATACACAGTTACGAAGGTCGTGAATATGCATAAATATTTCGCGTTGTCTTGTTTAATAGTGTCGATAAAATTGATTAGGAGAATGTTTCTACACAAGGTTTTCGGAGCAATATCGATCGATTTCTGTGGAATTTGCATTGTCCCAAAGTCCCGAAAATATTTACAATTATGAAATCGTGGGTGTTGTTTTGGCTGGAAAATGTAAATTGTGAAATATTTCGACCCAGAGACATGTCGAGGAATTCGGGAGGACATTGAAATTGAAAGGACAACGAAAGGTTACTTCTTCTGGACATAACCTTCGATTTATCAGCAAGTTCAGAAATTCCAAATTCTTCATATTCTCTTCAAGTTTGTGTAGGTGAAAGTTGTCCAGGAATTTTGTTAATGAAAATTCGAAATGAAAATTATTTTATGTACCTATGAATTTGCTGCATAATTCGTTGTTAGTTAATATGTAGCTGAATTTTCTCACAATTTTTTCGGGAATTTTACGTATTACATTGATGAATGAAAAGTCGAAATTAAAATTATTCTATGAATTTTCTGCATAATTAAATGAATCGTTAGTTATGTAATAGTTGTATTTTCTTCCAGTTTTTAAGGAATTTTATTATGTTCATGAATGAAGAGCGAAATGAAAACTATTTTAAGTATGAATTTGCATATGTAATTATTTAAACGAATCGTTCCTTAAATGAAAATGGATCAATGACAATCTAATTTTCATTTAGAATAGTAATTAATATACACTCAAAATAAGGTAGTAATGAATCATTACCACGCGGAATGACTATGTGGCTCTACCACGTGGGTTACGATTTGTCGTAGAAATGGTAATAATAAGTTCAGGGAAATTCAAATTCATTACCAAATATTAAGGAAGTGAATACTATTATGTATTAAATTTGAATTTCCCTGAACTTATTATTACCATTTCTACGACAAGTCGTAACTGACGTGGTAGAGCCACATAGTCATTCCGCGTGGTAATGATTCATTACTACCTTATTTTGAGCGTATTTTTATGTTTTTTTGAAAATTATGTAACAGAAAACGTGCTTCTGATGTGTGGTTTCAAGCCAAAGTTAGGAAACGATGATGGAGTCTAAAAATAATTTTCCTTAAACTGCGAGAGTTCAACGACAACTAATACATTTCATTACTAATACATACATTTTACATGGAAATTTTTACGCCTAGTAAATTTCTGAGATGAGGTCCATATCCGTGGAAAATGGAGAAAATGCGTCCAATGGGTATATTTAACCCAAAGTTAGGAAACGATGGTGGAATTTCTAAAAAATAGTTTCCATTAAACTTCCATTGCAACTAATATATTTTGGAAAATTTTAATTTAAATTAAACTAAAATGCTGCATTTTCTCCCAGTTTTTTCGGAATTTTATTATATTGATTAATGTAAAGACAAAATTTGAAATAATTCCTGCTCCGTTTTATGAATTTGCATATGTAATTAAATGAATCGTTCCTTAATAGCTGCATTTTGTCCCAGTTTTTTTTCGGAAATTTATTATATTGATTAATGAAAAGTCAAAATTTGAAAATATTCCTGCTCTGTTATGAATTTGCATATGTAATTAAATGAATCGTTCCTTAATAGCTGCTGTATTAAACTACATACTCCCAATTGTAATTTATTTCTTGATTCTTCTCACAAAGTATTTATTTACATTTATATATTATGATACTCTTAAAATCCCCACTTTTTACAATCCCGACCCCCTTTACGCTTTAATATTTCGCAAATTTCTTAAAGTCCATCAATCAACTCCAATTCGTTCAATTTTCATTTTGACATTGTTTTGTATTTCCCATGATGGGCATGCAAGTCATGTAAATAATTGATTTGTAAACTAATTACTAATTAATATTTAATCGATACAATAACCATCTGTGTAGATAATTTTTGATACAATATCATCTGGATTAGATGTACATAGGTACATAATTTTTATGACGTGAGAATAATAGGTGATTTTTCTAGACTTTTGCTAAACCTCCTTATTTACTCAAGTTGGCTTACAAATTTGGGTCATATGAAGAAGAGGAATTTCTGTATGGATATATGTACAGAGGGCAACATAGAAGTTATCTCATTCTCTTAAACTGGACATATTGTGTTGCAAATTTAATGGTAATTTGCTTTGATATTACTTAATACGACGTATGTATGTAGGAGTAACTTTTTCTGAAACTAGATACGAGTACATACACATTTTATGTATTATGGATGATGGATAAGTACTTGAGATGATAATCACTAATCACTCACTCACTGACAGGTTTACTTTGTACAATAAATACTCCGACATTCATTCATTCGGACAAAGTTTACTAATTTTTCTAGGAAATAACTAGTTTCTAACTAATTTCTACAAGTTTATGTAGCTACGTAAGTATGTATAGCGTTTGAAATAAGTGCTCAAGAAAAAAACATGCAATTAATAAGTACACCTTTTTCCAAAGGTATTCTAATTTAGTTTTTCAGCACCTTAAAGTTTACTTAATCTGTATGAATAATAATACTAGAGTAAAAATTACGCTATAATTTCAAGGGATAAGAACTAACCAGACTAAAATGTAAAGATCATAAACTTCTTAATTAAAATATTTATTTACAAGCTAAATAAACCCGCTTGCTTTACAGTAATTTTACTACACTACTTAATTAAATAATTAGTTAATTATTTACTACCAGTGACAAAAAGTCAACTTTTACTTTTTTATGCAACAATTTTCCAAAATGGTGGGGACCCCTTACCCGAGTTTTAAGTGATTCAGATTAATTTTTATTTTGGCGTTCACAATTTCGCCGATTAAATTACAGCTGAAAATAAATGTTTAATCAAATTATTTCAGAACCACAGACTCAAAAGTTGAAATATGTACACATTTCCACAAAATTAGGAAACCATAAATGGTAAATGTTTAATGTGTGAGAAAAATATGTGAACAATTATCACAAACGGTCAAATTTAATTAAGTGCTGAGATGCACATGCACTCCTAAATTTGGTTACATACATAAGCTGTCCCACTAAATAAAATAAATTGAGGGTACAATTTTCTAGTATGTGTAATTAAATAAATCTGAATTCTAATAGGAACTACGCCGCTACTAATGCTTTAAGGTTATCACATGTCAGCTTCATTACGAGGAATAAAACAAGTCCGGCCAAACGATAATCTTCTGTCTCCCCGGAAGGAAGAAGGAAAAAAGGTTAAGCTATGTCGCAGATGAAGCTGGCATTTTCTAAATCGTCAATCTCCGCCCGTCTCACTTCCGCGATGATTTTGTTGTAATATTTCCCACTCGAGACCAGACGCAGGGTCGTCATGCCACAAAACACCGTCGTGTATCCGCCTCCTGTAGGAGAAAGAAGAAGAATGAGCATTTTTTAAACCGAGACAGCAATCTTATCGTTAGTAATCCGCAGCATGGTTCGAAAAAACGCAGAGTTTTAATTAAAAAATAAGGACCCATGGGTTTTAATGGAGTTTTTGGGTTTTACTAAGCAATACACTCCACAAAAATTTTTCGCAACTGTTTAAAATTTAATTCATACAAATCCACTTCAAGAATACATTTCAAAAATTGCATATTAACGAAAATAACTGCTTTAGCTGCCATGTAAGAACTCATAAGAGATGTTTTAAACTATTAGAAAGTAGTTTAAGATAAAAGTTAAAACCCAAATAAAACCCACTTAACCTTGTAAACCCCAACAGGTTTTATTCATTTGAACCCCATTAAAACCCCCAAAAAAAACCCCAAAAAAACGCAACCCAATAAAACCCTGGGTCGGAGGAATACCCTAATCCGAAGCAGGTTGGATGATTTACTTCTTTCACCCACCCACATTCATTCGACCACTTTAATAAGAAAGGGAAAACCGAGCTGGGACAATAAATTGGGTCGGATTAAGGAGGAGAAAGTTGTGGTAGGTTTGTGTTCCACTCTAGAAAGAGGAATTGTGTTGCACGTAATAAGGGTCAAATTTCAATGTGCATCTAGTAAATGGCCAATTTTCGAAATTTAGCATCATTTGAGACTATGACCGCTCTGTTTATTCCCTCATTTTAATAAGGAGCTGGTAATATATCTAAATTGGGTCGGATTAAAGAGAAAGTTGCGGAACGTTTGGGTTTCACTTGAGAGAGTGGCTTGCCCACAACAAGGGTCAAATTTCAATGTGCATCTTGTAAATGGTTAATTTTTGTGGGTGTAAATGTTTTTAAGCATCATTTTCAACTACGAAAATTTATAGGAGAGATTTACATACGCAATTTTGTTTCATTTTCTCCACATAATTTGAAATCACGTGCATCTATAAACTACTTCAGCCCACTCGGTCGCAAATTCCCGAAGGATGCGTATCGAAATTCAGCCCTTATTATGTTACAGAAGGGTGTTTGACATCTTTCACTCGGTGGGAGAGAGAGACGGGTTAATTCGACACGGAAAGGATATCAAGTTGGGAATTTATCTCTCCTTGGAGGCAAGCTTAGCAATATTGCGTGGCAATTGTGGGGAATGACACCAGTGGCCGCGGAAAGGTGAGGAAGCGTGGGTGGGGACAGAGGGACAATGTCCCTACGATTATTCGATGTCCCCGTCATCTTATATAATTCCCTCCTTCCACTATTCTACAATGTTAACGTCCCCAGATGTCCCCACAGCTTCCGCGGCCACTGCTCAGGACCATGTAGGTGTACTTATCTGTACCTTACTCACTGATTCACGACCAGTGGCCGCGGAAGGGTGTGGAGCGTGGACAGAGGAACAATATCCCCAATGCATCTTATACATATAAACCCCTCCCTCCTTTATCGTACCACTTTTATGTCCCCCGATGTCCCCACACGTTCCGCGGCCACTGAATCACACTCGTCGTGGGTGTATAAAAAAATAAAAAGCTCTTACTTGGATGGTTCTGATGACCGCAAAACTCGTCGATTAATTCCATTTTAGAAGTGTCCAATCCAGAAGAACCACCAATTTGGATGTAATCCTCCAATCCCATCTTCTCACACTGCAAAAAATTACGAAACAAAACACCCCAAATGTTAAAAAATGGCAATCTTTACACAAAAATCGGAAACATTTAGATTTTTGAGAAGAAGTGATGTGTAAATATTAGTGTAGAACTTGAAGAAGAAGAAGGAATAAAAGCTGAAAAGCGTGATTTATTTGATGGAGAAAAGGTTAGTTTAGTTTTTCATGCTACACCAAAATTAATTAAATGAAGTGCATCAAAAATTAGCAATCAAGAAAAACAGATCTTGATTTTAGTATGATTGGATTTGAATTTAATCTAATTTTGGATCATGCAATAGTCAAAATGGCGTTTTTTACTACATCTTCTTGACATCTGCACACTATCAAAATTAACCAAATGTCATTCTCCCCCCGTCACTCGATCCGATTGAAGAAGCGACTAAATGTAAATGTCAACTTGATTACGGTTACGCGGCCAGCGTCACAAGAATCGTATCGTTTTCATGTTTATGTTTATTTTTACGAGCCTGATTATGATCCACTGTATGAGACGAATGCAGATGATTTTAAGGGGAAGGATAACTAACAACTTAAGTTTCCGAGTTGCGTAATATGTCGTGAATGAAATGTCGGTTTGGTCTGGTTTTTTAAGGGGGACGCCGTTTCCCTTCTTCTTAATGAGGAGGACAGGGTTTGGTACATTTTTTGCAATTGCCAAAAGGGCCTTCTCCATTTTGTGTCAATTGGCAAAGGGGCCAAGTCCACTTTTGGGGGGTACTGAGATTTTAGGGTCAATAAATTCTACAGAATTTTCTGAACAAGAAAAGTCCAACCAATTTTTTTTAGAAAATTCGGAAACTTCCTAAATAAGCTTTTGAAACGAGAGTAATTGAGGTGCATATAACACGTTAATCTCTGATTCCGAAGCTTTTTTGGTATGCTGTAATTCTGCACCTGGTGCAAAAAAACTGCAAGAAAAATGCGCATCTAGCCATCAGCCACGCGCCGTATGAAGAACTTACAGCGGTGGAAAGTGGTTTCTTACGCTCTTATTGCCTTTCTTGCAGGTCAAACTAGGCTGAAAAATACCACTTTCTCCCCCTTATTTCTTCCAAGTGGTTACTTTTCCGCGTTTTTTTTTGCAAGTTTGCTACATTTTTTTGCACCGAAAAAAAGCAATAAATGCGAGGTGCACGAAACTATAAGAAATGTGCGCCGCATGAAGTTTAGAGTCGGGGCGTCGTTTTTTAGGCCTTTTAAGATGGCCTTATAGATTTGTCAAGATGTCTGTCTGTCCGTCCGTCTGTAGGCACGATAACTCTCTTTAAACAAAAGCTATCGACTTGAAATTTTGCATGCTTCATCTTCGGGTAAAAAGTAAGGATGAGTTCGGAGATGGGCATGATCGCTCAAGTGGTTGGCCGGTGGGGGTCTTTTCCACCCAAATGTGTTGCCATTGACTACCAAGATGACATTAATGCCATCTTAAAAGGCCCCACAAAGTTGCTTGGAGTAGGTTTTAAGCCTTGCATTTCTCCCAGGTCAAAACATGTCCCTACAAAAAACCACTTTCTTCCCGTCATTTCTTGCAAATGCTTAAGTACTTTCACCCGAAACACTGGAGTCGGATTTGCTTGGCAGATGTGCATGCATACATATAAAAAACGATGTCCTTTTAATCAAGCATGTTTGATGGAGATAAATTGCCCCCCAAAATGTGAGAACTTTCACTCTCATTTGCGTCACATGACGTGACGCGACACGAAACGTGGTGACATCAAGGCGTCGGATTATTACTAGGTGGACGTGGACGTGGACCAAAAAACCCACATATTTAGAGGAGGAGGAGGACGCAATTTCGTGATGAATGTGGGCACGGGGAGATTTATGATGTGATTATTATCTCGTGTCGTGTTACACGGTTTGCAACACAAGTGAGTAAATAAACCAACAAGTGAATCCTAACTAAACCAGGTTTGTGGTTTATTAGATGTAAATTCTGAACTACTGAATTCTGACACCTAAACTCCCACGGTGCGCTTTTCCCCCACGTCATCGTCGTAAAGGGAAGAGTGAAAGTTTAGTTTGTGGGAAATCGGGGGTATGTTTGAGGCTTAATTATTTCGTATTCTCCATAAAACTGTGGGCAACCAGTCCACGTGCAAATTATGGTAGAGAGAAACCCGTGCAAATATGGATATAATTTAAATGTCGCAAATTTGCCAAAATTTTACACTTTTTCAAATTTACTGGAAATTTACTATCTCCTCTTCGGGTACAAATTTCCTCCCCAAAATGAAGTAACAAACAATTATTCGGATGGAATTAGTGAGATATTTGCATCCGAAGAGGAGAAAAGTCGACAAATTTTATACTTTCCAAATTTACTGTGCGTTTTCTCCTCTTCGGATGCAAATATCTCTGCCAAACGTGCCAATTGGGAGATCGCGTCTTTCGCAAATTTCATGCTAATTAAATTTGTGATGGATTTCCACTAATTTGCTCAAAATCGGATCGGGAGACCTCCATTGAAAGTCCCAATTTCGAAAATCGGTGTACAATTTTGTGAAATTTGTGTGATACGACAATTCGGAAAAAATTTCTAACGGTCTGTAAAATTGGTGACAAAACTATGAAGATTATTATTTACAAATTATTTGTCAATAGTTGGATAATCTTAATATGTTAAACAACACATCGAACATAAAAATTTTCAGAATCGGTGTCAAAATTAGTCAACCTTTTTTTACAACCTGTTGGTTTTGTTTCTGGTAAAATTTGTCATTTGTACAAGTTACAATCAATCACACCCTCCAACTTTTGTGAATTCACGTGCAAATTGGTTCAATGAGAAAAACATGCAGAAATTGTCATACATAAATATTTTAAGGAGCGCATGCATTTGCAAAAATTGTAAAAAATAGAGGATGTCCATCATCGCATTTTTAAGGTATATTACAAACGGAGAGAGGTTCGTGGACAGTTCAAATCCATTCTGCAGCTTTTCCTGGAAGAATCTATCATGCCAACACTTTTCATATTTCTCTTAAGGGTCGCGCATATGTGGGGGTTAAAATGGGGTCACGAGGTCAGGGGTGGTATTTTTCTCAAGGGACGCGCATTTGTGGGGGGTCACGAGGTCAAAGGGGGGGACCATTTCCTAATGCGGTGTAATATACCTTATGGTAGCGGGCAGAAGAGACAACCCTCCTGTGCGGGGAAGGGTACTTTACTTGAGAGGTGGTCGCCATCTCGCCCGCGCTCATCCACAGCACGCGCACCTTGGCGTCAAACAGCGTCGTCAGCGAACAGTTCGACCGTCTCCCAAAGTTCTCCAGCTTGTACACCGCCTCCAAATCTTGCACCAGGATGTTGCACGCTGCAGGGAAAAACTCGGTTAGATTTGTGACCCATTAAACTTGATGATTGACCAAAATCGTCACATTTTTAGTCATTTCTCCTCTCTGGGAACTTATTTCAAAATTTTGGACGGCAAATATGTAGAATAGGTCGTTCCCAATTTAAAAAAAATATACACTCTAGATTTTGACGAGTGATACAGATTTATTTCTCAAACGTTGTCCTCAATTGTCCCAACTTAACGTATGACAAAACCATTACATTTTTAAGGATTTCTCAGTTATTGGAATTTATTTTAAAATTCTGACAAGCAAATTTGTAGAGCAGGTTGTTACCAATTTTTCAAAAATATACACTCCAGATTTTGACACTTTTTGAAAGAGGAAATCTCAAGTTTAAGAAGCCTTCAGAAAAATTGAAACTCATCGAAACTGGCTCAAAAAACTCAACGCCATTCCGTTAATCAACTCACTGACTACGAACTTGTCGTTCAAAATTTTAAAATAAATTCCCAGAGGGGAGAAATGATTAAAAATGTGATAAATTTGACGATTTTGAATAAAAAATTATGGGAATTTTAAAGTAATTTATTTACGGGTTGGATTTTGCACGTGTCGAACCCTGATGGAGAAGCCTTGTCCGTACGCCGGGACGCGGTACTGGATCAGGGCCGCATTTTGTGAGGAGGTGAAAGTTCTCTGGAGCTGTTGGGAGGGGGAGGAGGAGTCGATGCAGACGTCCTGGAATCGCGAGGCCGTGTCCTTCTCGTGGTCCAGTGGGCTCGGAAACACCTCGCCGTTCAATTCCCATCCGTCAACGACCTGTTATTCAATTTGGAAATATTTAGGTTTCTGGGAAAATTATTTTGGAATTTTATTAGCAAAAATTTTGCAATAAAGTAGTAAGTTCATCCGTCAACACCCGTATGTATAATTCAATTTGGAGAAGAGAAAATAGTATAAATTTCGGATATATTTAGATTTCTGGGAAAATTATTTTGGAATTTGATTAGCGAAAATTTTGCAACAAAGTAGCAAATAAGTTTTATGATAAATAATTTAGGGAAAAAAGTTTGGGAAAAATTTAGATTTCCAGGAAATTTATTTTGTAATCTTAGCCAAAATATTTTGTAAGAAAATATAATAAGTTAGATGATAATTAAGAGAATAATACAAGGTTTTTGGGCACATTTAGATTCCCAGGAAAATTCTTGTGTAATAATTTGGCAAAAATTTTGTAAGAAAGGATGCATGTCGTACATTTAATGATGACTCTGGATATATTTAGCTTTCCAAGAAAATTATTTCGTAATTAAATTGTGTAACAAGGTAGTAAGTTTAGTAATAATTTGGGAAGAAAACAGGACAAGTTTCTTGGGCACATTTAGATTTCCTGGAAAGATATTTTTACCAAGTTCGATGAACCTGTCAAGGTAAAAATTTGTTTATTGAATACTTCGTGCGGTGGTTAGTTAGTACGTATTGCGTAAAAGTAACGCGATATGGACAGTGGCCGCGGAAGCTGTGGGGATATCGGGGACATTGCCATTGTAGCATTATTATTAGCGTTATCAGCGCCATTATAGCGAGAAGGGAGGCGTTTATATAACATGGGGAGATTCAGATGCGGACATGCAACCGTGGGGACCATACCTGTTCACTTTCATTCATTTGAGTGATTATGATGGTGAATGAAAATGAATTTCCTGTGATTTGAATGAAAATGAGTGAAATATTCCGTCATTTCAGATGAATGACTGTGAATGAAAGGATTTTTCACTCTTTCATTTTTCACCCTATGCTTAATACATGATGCGAAGTAAGAAATGAAGTCAGATGAAGTGAAATGAAATGAATTTGAATGAGAATGACTGAATGTGAATGAAAATGTTCAATCAGAAATTGGGATGACTCACTTTTGAATGAAAACTAAATTTGTGAACAGTTATGATGGTATGGGACATTGCCCCTCTGTCCCCTCACGCTTCCGCGGCCGCTGGATATGGATGAGGCATGAGCAATATTTGCACATAATAGGATCTGATTAGTAACGAGATCTCGTGGTGAAAGGCTTCCTCCTCGTTCGTGGGAGGACGTCGCAAACTTTACAAATCACGACGACACAAAAGAAACAAATCTGTGGCGTACTAAAGAGAGAAAGTTTTATGAATGGGGAAGGAAATAAACAGGTAAAAAAACTTTTTATTATGTTAGAAAATACTTTCTCCGGAGTTGGAAAAGAAAGTTTTTTTAGTAATATCATGTTTTTTTGGGGGGGATAGGATACCAAAAGTAAGAGGATTTGCTCAGATTTACATGAATGCAAGATGTTTTATGTAAATATGAGATGAGACTTTTTGCGAATATGTATGCAAAATCTTGGTGGAGGACCAGATATTTTAAGTAGAATTGATTTTAAACGGATGTACGACTCGATGACTATAGTCTTCAAAATCTGCACATTTTTAATTATTTCTCCGCTCTGGGAATTTATTTTAAAATTCTGGACGACAAATTTGCATAGCAGGTCGTTGCCAATTTTTCAAAATATACACTCCAGATTTTGAAACATTTTGAAGGAGGAGATCTCAAGCTTAAGAAGCCTTCAGGAAAATTGGAACTGGTCGAAACTGGCTCAAAAAACTCAACGCCATTCCATTAATTAACTCACTAACTACAAATTTGTCGTCCAGAATTTTAAAATAAGTTTCCAGAGCCAAGAAATGCTTAAAAATGTGTTGATTTTGACTCTTTTGGTGATGCGTCATTCGTTAGCTTAATCCCAACATTATTTCAGGAAGCATTATATTCCGTGTATTCATGTAAATTATTTACGGGAAGATGAGTGAATTTAGGAAACTTTAAAACTCATTGTGGTTTTCCACGTGGTCTACTTTACAACAGTTCTCGTCTCTTCCCTTGATTGGATTGACGGGTGCCAGAAAGTTTCCCGGAAACGAAAATTGATGAGGAGACATTGTTACGGCAGGCAGACAAAATTTGGAAACTTTATCATTTTCCTAGCACCACCAAGTATGACCACGTGTGTACCAAACTTGTCATTGGAATTGGGTGAAAGTGTCTTTTGCACACAATTTGTATTTACATACACGACGTAAATAAGTAGGTCATGGGAACAAGGGCATTAAATCGGTAAATATTACCAAGGATGAGTTTACACCATTTGCATTTGCATATTTGTTTAAACAGTTGTGCAAAATGATGGCGCAGCAAGTTGTGATCTAACAAGGGACACTCACGACCTGTGGTTTGAGTTCAGCGTACCCATTATGTTTTTTAGAATCTACTAGGACCCCTGATGAAGGATTCATTCATATTTCCGTGTAAAACTCATATTTGGCCCAATGGCGTGGCGCCAAACTTAAAAATTTGCATTTTCGACCAATTTCAAACCCCCATAACTTTTGCAGTTTATGTCGGATTTTAAAAATTTTATGCTTAAAATGATCAGAAAAGTCGAAATTTTAGAGAAAAAAATAAAAATAAAAAAATTTTTGAGATTTTTGAGATATTTTTAGCATTTTTTCGACGAACCCGAAATTTCGAAATTTTGCAAAAAGTTAAAAGTGATAATTTTGAAAAAAATTTCATAGAATATGTAAGTTGAACAAAAATTTTGAAAATCCGTCCAGGATTTCAAAAGTTATGGCGGGTTTAACATGAAAAACCGTCAAATTTGGCGAATTTGGCGCCACGCCATGGCGCCAAATATGAGTTTTACACGGAAATATGAATGAATTCTTCATCTGGGGTCCTAGTAGATTCTAAAAAACATAGTGGGTACCCTGAACTCAAACGACAGGTCGTGATTGTCCCTTGTAAGATGCTTGAAACGATTAGACGATAAATTGCTGAATTGGTTCCAGAAGATCTACATAACTTCAAATTAACACTGAACGTCATAATTTTCTGAATCGGTGTAAAAATTAGTTGAATTTTTTTGCTTTGCTTTTGGTGAAATTTGTCATGTTCTTTTTTGCCATGAGACGAATTTGAGTTATGCAATGAGAATTTTTGCTAATTCTGTTTTCCATATAAGTACTTCTCACTTGGAACAAGTAGACGATAAATTATGTACTTCTTCACGGAATCCGACACATCTTTTGTTTTTTGAAAAAAAAGCACTAAACGTCACACTAAACGTCACAATTTTCAAAATCGGTGTAAAAATTTATCATTTTTTTTGCCATGAGATGAATTCTAGTTATGAAATTTTTGCAAATCCCCTATTCCATGTACATAGTTGTTAAATGGCATCGACCGCATCGGATAAAGTGCATAACATAAGTGACTTCAAAAACTAGTAGACGATCAATCACGTCAAACCAATACATCTGTCCAACTTCAAAGTTGCACTGAACATCAAAATTTTCAGAATCGGTGTAAAAATTAGTCAAACTTTTTTTTTACAACCAGTATTGGTTTTGTTTTTAGCATACCATGAGATGAATTTTAGTTATACAATGTCCTAATTTTTACTAATTCGTAATAGACAATCAATTACTTCTTCACGGACTATGACACATCTTTTCAGCTTCAAATTAACACCGAACGTCACAATTTTCAGAAATGGTGTACAAATTAGTCAAACTGTTTTTTTACAGTTTTGTTTTGGTTAAATTTGTCATCTATTTTTTTTACCGTGGAATGAATTTTAGTTGTACAATGTTGCCCTAATTTTAGCTAATTCGCTAAATTCCATAAACTTGTGAAATGGCACCTTGTACTCGTAACTAGCGGAGAAAGTGGTTATTTTGTGCGTGCGTCATATCATTCTTGACATTTGCATTGTGTCGTTGTCTCCTCCTTGCCTCATTTCATTTACGGTATCGAATTGCACGCCAAGAAAGAATAGGTCGGCTTGTTCATAAGAAAAGAAAGCGTGGGCGTGGGTGGAATGGAATGCTGTCAAACTAATAATGAAGCCAGATAGGAATTCTAATAATGTGAAAAATTAGGGGAATGTCGCCATTGTCATTATTACATCGTTATTTTTGGTGTGTTATTTATGTAATCGAACCATAAAATAACCATGTAATCGTACCATGAAAAATTTTGCATGCTAGTCGACAAGATTGTGAAATGCAGTGGCAAGTTTTGCAATGTCGATTGTATGGATAATTTGTGAGAAAGACTGAAAAGGGCAAAATACCGTTTTAGTTTTTTCTACTTATATTTAGAAATTAAAAAAAAATAATGGCTAAGAATTCATAATAGACTGTGGATCTAATAAACTGCCAATTTTTGCTAACTAAAAAATTGGTTTTGAAATAAATTATTGTGAAATTCCGTTGGAGGTATTGCAATTTCTATTGTATGAATAATTTCTGAGAAAGAATGAAAAGGGTAGGCAAATAATTGGTTTAGTTGTTTTCTATATTTAGAAATTTACCAAAGTTAACCGTTTAAAACAAACGGTTGGTCAAAAGTTCCTAAAAAATGTGGGTCTAATAAACTGCTAATTTTTGCATGTTAAAAAAAAATTTTGAAATAAATTCATAGCCAGAAATGTCTTTAAAAAATTTGGATCTAAAATATTTATTTTTTAAAGATATTTGAAGACATTTCTGGTTATGAAATTATGTTTCAAAAATTTTAGCATTTTTTGCATTTTTAAAACAGTTGGATCTAAAATATTACTTTTTAAAGACATTTCTGGTTATAAATTTATTTCAAAAATTAATTTTTTTGTTCGAGTGAAAGTTGTGTTTTATTCATGGTTAATTTTTTTGTGGGAGAAAGAAAACGAGAGAAACTTTAACTTTCTCTTTATTCTGGATGATTGATCAAGCGGAAAATTACCAGGTTTTTTTACCTACCTACGTCATTTCGCATAATAAATACATGCATAATCAAATATGAGAACTTTTCCTCCCAGATCGACACACGAAGGCGTAAAAAATATTGATGTTTCCCATAAAAAAAATCAACGATCCATGGCATGTCCGTCAAAATCAGGGGGCGGATATGTATTTTTTTAATCGCTGAAATATGTATTTAGTATTTGAGATAAAAAACGCCAAAATATTTGCGAAATATGTACGAAAAAAAAGTTTTACAAAATTTATATTTCTGAATATAAGACGGATTTTTTGAACTTCATTTTCTTCTATGCAAAAATTTTGTCATAACGTTTAATTATTTGTAAAATCCAAATTTTGCTTTATGGCGTTAAAATTTACAAAATATATTTATTTTTCAAATATGTAAAAGATTTACGAATTTTTCAAATAATATAAGAAATATTTATTATGGCTGAAACCTATTTATATAAATCTGTAAAAATATGTATAAATATTTTGAAACTTTTGAAATCCATTAAAATTAAGGAAAAAAATAAGTTGTACAAAATTTATATTTCTGAATATAACCTTCAAGATTTTTTGTACTTCAATTTCTTTAAGCAAAATATCTTTTCCTAATGTTTAATTATTTATGAAGTCTAAATTTCGTTTTATGGCGTTCAAGATTACAAAATATATATTTTTTGCAAAATAAAAGGAAAATATTTTCGTATTTTTTCGTATTTTCGTATTTGAAAAATACGGAAATATTTAAATGGCTGAAAACCTATTTACAAATCTATAAAAATACTTATAAAAAATATTTTCAAATTTTTGAAATCCATAGGAATTAGGCAACACACCCACAAAATTTGAACTTCCATCCTCATCAAATGAAAAACTTGCAAATAAATACATAAATATCCGCCCTCTACTCATAACAATAGTGAAGAACAAAACCAAGCCACCCACGCTCCGAATTGCGTTGCGTATGCAAAAAAAAACATAATCAAATAAAGAAAATCAGCTCGATATTTCGATATGTCAATGCCATTCGTGAATGCGTGCACGCCTCTTGACGATCTAACTCTTTGATCGCCGACTTTTGGAAACTTTTGATAAATTTCACCACGTAATTTTAGCTGTCTAGACAAAGTTAGAGAAGTTTGATGATAACGTGGACAATCGCGTTGCCTGGCTGGCAGGTTGGTCGTGGGTGGACAATCGTATCAAATTTTGGTAAATAATGACAACCCTTTTTGCATCAAAGATAGCCTTGTTTTTAAAAGTGACGTGCTACCCTCCTATCCGATTTCTCATCGGGCAGAGTAGAGGAAACTTTCGGTATATATGAATACATACTATGTAATAATGTGGTTCTGCTCAGTGGCCGTGGAAGCTGCGGGGGCATGTGGGGACAGGAAAATTGTAGAATAGGAAGGATTTATATAACATGGGGAGATGATGGGGACATTGTCCCTCTGTTCCCACACTTCCGCGGCCACTGCATCATGTACATACATTTGAGTAGCCTGAATTCTCCCAGTGGCCGCGGAACCCGTGGGGACATTAACCTTGTAGAAAAGGGACATGTTTATATAAGATGGACAAGTGATACGGACATCGAACAACCGTGGGGACATTGTCCCTGTATCCCCATGCTTCCGCGGCCACTGGTCCAGCTCTATGTAATAATGCGATGGTGGATACTTTGTCAAAGTGGGTGAGTGAAAGTTTTGTAACGTGATATGCACTGTTGTGTTGCTGCACAAAAACAAGGGCACGCCTACGATTTGACAGTAATGTATGTAACATGTGGTTTTTGTCAAAGAACTACATACATTAAACTAGTTGCTTGCAGACTTTTTGAGGGGGGAATGGAAACGTATGGAACGTTTTTGGGTCAAGTTTTTCATTGCATTTGTTCGAGATCATACTTATGTATGAACCATGAACTAGATAGATGCAGATGCACATGTGTACTTCAGTTGGTGGGAACGTGTAGTGGTTTTGGATGATGATGAAGTTGAATCCCAAGTTGATGGGATTGATGATATCTTGCTTGATGGATGGATGCCAGGATGTTGCTTTTAGTTATTGTGTCAGCACACAATTAGGAATGACTTTCCCCCAGGGGGACAAATCTGTAACGTGACATACACTCCGTGCAGATATCCGGTGTATGTAAAAGCAACAAGTTGTATTCAGAAATTTGTGAATACTTGACACATATTTTGATCGAAAAAGTCTTGAAAACGGGGGCAAAATTTACTGTTACATGAAAGATTATGCAATTCACATTAACTGATTTCTCTATTTCAATAAGTTGTTTCCAAAAATTGGTGAATACATGACACATTTTCTGAGCGAGAGTCTTAAAAATGGGGACAGAATTTACTGTAATATGGCAGATGTTGCAATGCACGTCAATTTTCTCTTTCTCAACAAGTTGTATCCAAAAATTTGCGAATAAATAACCTATTTTCTGACGTATGCAGATTAGGAGAAAGTCTTAAAAAAGCGGGGGCACAATTACGTGTTTAAGATTACGAAATGCGCATCAACTTTCTCCTCTTTCCTTGCATAACAATTAATGTGACAACTACTTGATATGCCAATCGTGTACACAATACAATTCAGAAGGTGGGGAAGGAACGAGGGCGGTGATTAAATCTCTGTGAATGCGTACATAATTCCTTTGAAACCTGGAATGACTTGTATCTATTGTTCGGTGACTCACGGCACGAGTCATTAGGTCATAAATGACGTAAATTCCGACAGGTTTTACTCGGTCAGGGTGGTGGCCGGAGCAATGTCATTAATCAAATTATAGGGCATGAAATATGTCAAAATCGTAATAATAGTTGTGCTTCTTACGCTGATAAGTCCTTTGTCCTGGCATCGGACGTCGATGTAGTCCACGTGAATGACGATGGCTTTGTCCGGGTCGGAGACCAAGTACAGCCCGCAAACTTGGTCACTGCCTCCGCGAGACTTGAAGTGGTAGACGCCCTCTTCCAGAGTGATCTTTACGCATTCTGAAAATATAAATTGAGAAATTTCCAGAAATTTGTCAATTTAAGTTTTTATAAGAAGTTCTTAAAAAATGGGTAAAACACTCAATTTATGAAAATCGGCCTGGATTTTTTTTAGTGAGGTGTGCAGAACACAAATTTTGACGTTCATTACATCGTTAGGACATGTACGTTCATTGATGATGATTGCATAAAGTTCAAAATTGCGAATAAAAAAAATGTGCCAATTCCGAGGCAGGATTTCATCATACATATGAAAATTCTTTAAAAGACGGACAAAACTAAGGTTGCAGACTGGCCGGAATTTTAGTGACCCGTGGAGAAAACACATTTTGACAGGGATCATGATAATTGATAGATAATTGCGTAAGGTTTTAGATTTTTACTGAACACAAATTTGACCGTTATGACAGGTACGTTCATTCGTGATGGTTGCATCAAGCTCAAAAATTGACAATCGAAAAATTTGTTAGGTTTTCATAAAGTTACCGCTTGGCTGGAGTTTTAGTGACCCGTGCAGAGCGCACATTTTGGCAGGGATCACATGACATTCGTGATGGTTGCATAAGGCTAAAAATTTGTGAATTTAGGTTTTCATCAATTAAGTCATGGGATGCAAAATCCTTTCGTAAACGGGTAAATTTGCAAAGGTCGGGGTTTGAACGTACAGAACACACATTTTGACAGGAATTACGACGATTGATGGATACACATTTGTGATGACTGCATAAAGCATAAAATTGCGAAATTTGTCAATTTCAATTTAAGTCTGTCATATGGAAATTTTTTCCTTTGAAAACAGACAAAACTAATTCACGAACGTTCGACTGGTAGGATTTTTAGTGTCCCATGGAGACCACACAGTTTGACAGGAATCATGATGATTGGTGACTGCATAAAGGTTATAAAAAAGTGGGTTTTATTACTGACTGGATTTTAAGATTTATTCTGATTACTCATCCTCACATGGGTGCGTGGGTGGTAGATTCAGTGGCCGCGGAACGGTTGGAACAGAGGGGAAAATATCCCCCCGTTATTCGATATCCGCATCATCTGCCCATCTTATATAAATACCACCCTCCCCCATCCTACATTGTAAATGTCCCCTAGATGTCCCCACGGCTTCCGTGGCCACTGGATGAATATGCCGATTTTTGTGACACTGGGTGAAAGCAGCGGTTTCTGCCCCCATGCAGCATGCAGCACTACTTTCTTTCTTATTAGACATTCTTGTCAAATTGAACTTAACACCTCCTCCTGGGAAAGAGACAGCTTGTGCTCTCCAACAACTCAAAATGGATTTCGCTCTGAATAGAATAGAATAAAGAACAATTGAGACTTTTGCCTTGCATGCATACATCGCATCCAAATTGCGAATTCTTTGCCCTCATCTTCACCCGAGGTCTCCCATCCCAGAGTATGCTCTCCGATTTTTACCAACTTTGTCTCAATCGATCACAAATTTAATTAGCACGAAATTTACAAGTGAATAGAAACTTTTTTTCTCAAATTGAACAATTCATTCTTCAATTAACAACCTGATACTTATTGTACAAAATTTCATTTTTCCTATAATTATTTTTCTGGCGTTTATATTTCACATTTTTGTCAACATTGCAAAAATACTTTTCTTCTTATTTGATGCTTCCCGATCTCCCAACCCAATGGACACGTTTGGCAGAGATATTTGCATCCGAAGAGAAGAAAACGCGTCCTAAAGTCGACAAATTTTAAACTTTCCGAATTTCCTCCACGTTTTCTCCTCTTCGGATGCAAATATCTGCGCCAAACGTGCCCATTCGGAGATCGCGTCTTTCGCAAATTTTATCCTAATCAAATTTGTTCCCGATTTCCACTAATTTGCCCAAAAATCGGATCTCATCCGCTGGGAGACCTCCATTCTTTTCGAATCATGAGATTGTTCCCTCTTTGCCGTCATCATCAAGAAAAACAAAGAGTTTCAAGAGAAACAATATAATTGAACAAGTTTCTCTCCCTTGTTTGCTCAAATAATGGCTTTTCTCCCCGTTCAAAAAGGGTGTCAAGAGGAGGAGGAAATTCCAATTTCTTCTAAACCAACCAAATAACCAATCAAGAAAAGAGCAAAAACTTGATTACCTATTTAATTCTTTTCTTTATTGAAATTAATTTCAAACAAGGGAAACATTTTAAACACGTTTTTCCCATTTTGTTCCACTCTCCAAACACTTTTCGAGATTGGTTACATTCCGGGTTGACAAATGTTTTCTCAGGCGAGATTTTTCTCATCATAATGAAATGACTTTCTCCCAACCCACACCGACCGGCAGAAGCAGCAGCTTGGTGAGAATCAGCGTAGGTGAGAGAATTGAGAAGTGTATTTGGGTCGAGTGGATTTTTCTTGTGGGGGAGAAAGTGAAAGCATTCATGGAACGTGAAGAATCCTCGAGAAGAGAGAGAGCGGAAGCTACTTTTTGTCATCGTTTTGTCTGTCCGTCCGTTAACTAGAAGTGAAGGATTCTAGAGAGAGGATCATCTAATCGTTTGGTCTGTTTGTCTGTCCGTCCGTCCGTCCGTTATTTAAAAGTAAAAGTAAGGAATGTTCTAGAAGAAAGAGATAGCATCTTCTAATCGTTTTGTCTGTCTATCTGTCTGTCCCTTAGCAAAACAGATACCTCTCGAACGCCTCGATATATTCAAATTCAAACAGTATTTCCAATTTTATGTATGACCTAAATCGAGTTGAAAAATGGGGTCACTGAACTGAGGTCATGGTCAATGTGAACTTTCGAGCTTTTCGCTACACGCCAAATTGGACCTAAATTTACATGCTTGGTGATTCCAGTTGTTCTCCAGGAGTTACTAAAAATCCAGCCAGTCGAACGTTTATAAAATTACTTTCACTCGTTTTTTTAAAAGAATTTTAAAATAAATTTTAATCGCTTTCTTGCCGCTACTTCTTTACGTTCGTTTATGTCCAAAGTAAAGGTTTATTATTGTTATTAGTGTGGCAGTAGAGTATGTAGGTGGGCAAGCATCCACTTGACAAATTAATGTTTACACTGCTTTCTCCCCACATACTTAGGAGCACAATAATGCCTGAGGAGGAGGAGGAGGTGGTCGTCGTTTAGTGAGTTGAGTGAATGTTTAAGAGGAGAAAAAGAAATACAAAATTCGTGTGAACAGGCAAACGGGGACAAGTGGAAATCATGCAAGTATCTATCGCAATATGTATCACCCTAAGAAAACTGGTATTAAATCATTACCAGAGTACATATATGACTCTATACTGACACTGGTAATAACGTGCATTACTGTTTAGTAAAGTTGTGGTAAGGACACCGCTCAGAAACAAACTACTACCAATCCGGTAATAAGTTTTTACCAAATCAATATACCAGTACAGAGTAGGTATCTACACTCAAAATAAGGTAGTAATGAATCATTACCATGCGGAATGACTATGTGGCTCTACCACGTCGGTTACGATTTGTCGCAGAAATGGTAATAATAAGTTCAGGGAAATTCAAATTCATTACCAAATATTAATAAAGTGAATACCATTATGTATTAAATTTGAATTTCCCTGAACTTATTATTACCGTTTCTACGACAAATCGTAACCGACGTGGTAGAGACACATAGTCATTCCGCATGGTAATGATTCATTACTACCTTATTTTGAGTGTAAGTCTACCAGATTTTTAACAGTGTACACGAATTTTTGTCACTTGTCTCCCTCCGAAAATGTATCGGGAATGATGACATTCACCAAAAAAGAAGCGAGTATAACCTGGTTTACAACGTTTTAATGGGTTCTCATCACTCTTAAAGGGGAAGAATCGACTACTTTTCCACCACTTTTCCAGAACATTGTAGATAGAATGAAATAAACTTTTAGTGCGGGTGGAGAAAGCAGTGAAAGCACCATTATTTGTCTGTATCGATGAGATGAGATGAGAAATTTGGCACAATTGTATTCAGACCAGTCCACCCACTCGATATTTTTTATTGTGTGTGTGTGTGTACAGTAGCCGCGGAAGGGGTGGGGACATCGGGGGACATTAATATTGTAGGACAGGGGAAATGATGCGGACATCGAACTACCATTGGGACATTGTCCCTCTGTCTCGACACCCTTCCGAGGCCACTGGTCGTGAATGAGTGAGTGAGGTCCAGATAAATGCACCTATATGGTATTTAGCAGTGGCCGCGGAAGCCGTGGGAACATATAGGGACATTAAAATTGTAGGATAAGGGAGGGAGGGGTTTGCATAATATGGGAAGATGACGGGGATATAGAATAACCGTGGGGACATTATCTCTCTGTCCCCACATAGCCTTCCGCGGCCACTGTGTGTGTGTATCCAGTCGTGAGAAAATTTGGTGTTTTTTGTCATATTTTTTTTTAGTTTGACCGACTTACCATCGATAATGTGGGAGGTATTTTTTTTGGATGGGGAAAATTGGGTAATTTTTTATGGTATGTTGTAATTTTTTGGGCTTAATTACCATCGATAACGTGGAAGGTATTTTTTGAAGGGGGAAAATTGGGTACTTTTTTATTTTGTATTTTCGTAATTTTGCTTTTTTGGCTTACCGTCGATAACGTGGAAGGTATTTTTTTGGAGGGTCTGCTGCTCCTGGGGGAGGACCTGTTGGGGTAGAAGAATGTCTGAAAGTGGGAGTGGCACAGGGAGGCGGTGATTGTTGTTTTCAGACGCTGAGAGCAAGTCCAATGGGTCGATTTGCAGGGGGAAGGATTCCTACGGAAATAAGGACAAAAATTTTTTTAGAAATTGAGTGAGTTTGACGTCGATACAATTTTTGAGGGAAATTTCGCATCTTTAAGATTGATTTAGATACATTAAGGGGAATGGTAAATATGAGTTTCAGATTTTATGAATTTTGTGAATTTTTGCAAATTTTTGATTTTTTATGACATTGTAAATCTTATGAATTTCTACGATTTTGTGAATTTCTGTGATTTTTTTTTGTGATTGTATGAATTTCTTTATTTTCTGGATTTTTATGATTTTGTGAATTTCTGTGATTTTTTTTTGATTTTGTGAATTTCTTTATTTTCTGAATTTTTATGACTTTGTGAATTTCTTTATTTTCTGAATTTTTATGACTTTATGATTTGTCATTTTTCGAATTTTTGTGATTTTTTACTTGATTTATAAATTTCTGTGATTTTGTGAATTTTTGTGACTTTTGGAATTTTTGTGATTTTCTGAATTTCTGTGATCTTCTGAATTTCTGTGATCTTTTATGACTTAATGAATTTGTCCGTATTAGTATTCCTTAAAATAAGTGTTTTCACCCCACTCTCTTAGCTTATTTACCCCCAATTCCTTCCCCAATATTTATTTATTTTCCTTCCCGTAAATAATCCGACGGTTTTTCTAGGATATGCAAACTGCCGGAAGCTCATCATTCTTCTTTTGGGATCACAAAAGCTCAACGTTTCTGTTTTTCTGTGAACCCTTTATTTGATTTCTTTCCGCTTGGAAAGGGGGAATAAATGAGGAAGACAAAGTTGTGATTATGCCGGAAGGAGATGAAGTGACACATTTTGGCACAAACCTCCACACGTCACGTCACTCGTCCGTCACTCCATTTATTATTTTACTCAACCACAAAACCCGAAAAAGGAACAGACAGGAAGCATATCAAAGCTTGACATGCTTAGCGAAACATCAATTCATCTCCTGTGTAATGGGCTCACTTTTACTTTTTCCGCTCCTTTAGCACCGAGAAAAGTGAATCGTATACTTACTGCGATCAATTTGTCCGTCCGTCCGCCTGTCTATCAGCAAGATAACTGTAGAACGATTGAACTTTTAAAGTTCTGCGTTTGGAGATCTATACATCTAACTTTAAAGTAAGAGAAAGTTCGTTGAACTTTGCAGGTCAAAAGGTCACGACGCCAAGGTGATGTCAAAAATGTCGATTTTCTTCTTTTGGATCTACTTGTCCGTTTGTCTGTCCGGCAGTCAGCACGATAATGCTCGAATCAATCAACTTTTTTTAGTTCTGTTTTCGGATACATTTAATTTTAAAAGGAAGAGGGGGTTGGTTAGTTCAAAAGGTCACGACGCCACGGTGATAATGTAAAGGGCCAAAACTGTCGAATTTTTTGTTTTCACCGGTTTAGACGTATTTTGCTTCAGGGATTTCAGAAATCGTCATCATTTCGCCGTACATCGACCTATGTAGTGGCGAGGTCAGAGGTCATTAAATGTCGAAAAGTCAAAGGTGCTAAATTTTACCAGCAAATGATGCACCTCGAGCACTCCGTTTCCGCTAGTTTATTACCTCCGTTACCGGAGTTTATTGCCCACTAATCTCTGTTATGACTGATGGGATGGGACGTGCAATAAAGTTAATTTTGTGATATCTACAGGTACCACGACACGTCCTACTTTCACCAACTCGCTGAATTGCATGCAATTCAGAGTGAGTGACGCAACTTAATATTCCCCAGAAATCAATTACTCAATCAATTACCCAGTAATGTTGAAGGAGTGGGATTTTTTTTACGTGGGCAAAATTACCAGAATTTGTGCATAAGCGGCGCAACTGTCATATTACGTGTCATCAATTTAGCTAGTTTATTAGCTCACAAAAAGTATGTATAGCGTACCACACCCAGCCAATTCTGGGTAAAACGGTGGACGCACAAAGATAGACAGACAGACACGTCACGTCAGAAAAGTCAAGTCATTGGCAGATTCGGTTAACAAGATGAGTCGCAATTGTATGTGTACATACGGGTTATTCATTTACTGGTACGTAGAATTTGCGAGAAATTCTTTGTGCAAAAAAATTGTTTGTTTGGATAATGTAGAGAGAAAAACGTTTAAAAGACTTAATAATTTGCATTTCATGATACACAATAGTGTTAAAAAATACAAATTTATGTTGACTGTTGATGATTCGCAATTATGCACATTGCAATTGTATATAATATGCATTTAGTGGTACTTATATAGAATTTGCGAGAAAAACTGAAGGTTTTTTGTGCAAAAAATATTATTTGTTTGTATAAAGTAGAGAAAAAACCGAATCTTAATAGTTTGAATTTTATAATAGTTTTAAAAAAATACGAATTTATATTCCTAAGACGTAAAACAAGAATTTTTATTATTATTCAGTAATAGGGCAGATTCGGTTAAGAAGATGAGTCGCAATTATGCACATTGCAATTGTATGCATTCACTGGTAACGAGAAAAAGCGTAATTTTGTTTGCAAAAAAAATATTTGTTTGGATAAAGTAGAGAGTAAAAGAAAGTGTAGAACGTAAAAAAACTGAATCGTTTAAATTCTTTTTTTACGAATTCTATGATCAACAAAAGTACAGATTTTTGTTCCCAGGACGTAAAACAAGCCAAATATTTTTATTTTTGATCTCATTATTGCGCAAATGGAAAATCGAACTCGACATATTTAGTAATTAAGTTCTATGAGACCTTTTAATAATTTATCGCAAATAAATAATGCGTAATTTTTATTTGTGGCGTTTTGCAAAGAATTTTTAGACACAATTTTAAAATATTATGTAAAACCGTAGGTTATTTTCATGATTTTATTCATAAAATATTAAAATGTAAACTATTTTTCAAAATCGAAAAGAACAAATTTGATTATTAACCCTTTAACGTGTATGATTGATGACAAGAAAATGCATTAAATCGGGGACACTATAAGTATGTTGTGGTCATGGCGCGGGAGGAAAAATTCAGGAGTTTTTAATAAAACTAGAAAAACTGAAAAATCAAAAATTTAACATTGAGTTGTATAGGGAAATATGATATTTCCCTAAATTAACCGATCCGTAGGATAGGATCGGATAAATACAGGATCGGATCGGATCGGATTTGCTCGCTTTAGGATCGGATCGGCTCCCGGTTCTACTCGAAATCCGATACGATCCGATTCTAGGATCGTAGGATATCCGCGGATGATATGTGTGAGACACCTTGTGTCTATGGAAAAACTTTACCAGCTGCTTTTCTTTATTTATTGGAACGGTTTTTGGTGAGTTCATCACATGGCGTACATTACCCGAATGAGCCGAATTATCCTATTATTTTACACCAGTTATTTTTATTTTGGCGTTCAAATTATTCAATTTAGTATGATTTCAACGCCAAAATAAAAATAACTGGTGTAGAATAATAACATAATTCGGCTCGTTCGGGTAATGTACGCCATGTGATGAACTCACCAAATGTGAAACGAGTTTACACCGGATGATCCGAGGATCCTGTGCGATCCTAGGATTTCATCGGTTCGGATCGGATTGTCTGATCCTCGGATCCTCTATCCGATCCGTGTGAAAATCCGATCCTATCCGAGTTTTTACGATCCTAGGATAGGATCGGTTACGGATTACCATCACTAGAAATATCCAAATTTTTGGGAAGAAAATTTTCAAATTTAACATTGTGTTGGCATAGGAGAAATACCTCAAAATTGCAACAAATTTTAGGTCGCGGAGAGAAAATGGTGAAAATCAATGACCTCCTAGAAACGACAATTGTCGTCCTTCCGCGCCAGGACCACGATTTTTCAGGACGACTTTTGTCGTACTCCCGAATCAAACCATTTCTTATAAAACGACTATTGTCGTCGTTACAGTTTAAAGGGTACTAGTTTTCGTAAAATCGAAATGAACAAATTTGACAATTTCGTCACGTCCTTTTATTTACTTGTTGCGTACTTATTTTCAAAGAATTTTTGAACCTGAGATGAAAATCTACAAAGTTATGTAAACGGTACGTGATTTTCAAGATTTTATTTCATTTTATTCATAACACAGGGAACCAATTTTTCGAAAAATCTAAACGAACACACTTCACAAATTCATGTCTGTTCAACAACACCTTTTATTTACTTATTGTGCAAATAAATAGTGCGTAATTTTTACTTGTGGCGTTTTGCAAAGAATTTTTACACCTAAAATAAAACCTACAGTGCAGACTCCATATAGCCCGAGTCAGGGACATACTCCCTGACTCAATAAGTCAGAGCCTTCTAAAATTTTTTCCGAATTGAGCGACATAATATCACCAACTTCCGTGTTGTGGATGGTTAAAAGTTTGTTAGATAGTTTCTATTATTTGGTACCAAATTTTTGAATTATTTACAAATCATGTGCCTTGACCACCATGACCAGTGGGCTTCTTTAACATCCTGAAGTTCTAAGATGTAATGTATGTGCTATTCAGCCTCCATATCAAATTTCTGCTCGATATAACGATTTTGAAAAATCAGTATGGGTCGCCCCATAGGGTCACTCTGGTTGCACTTTGCTCACTTTTAACTTCATAATCTTTAATTAGAAGCCATTAAGTATCATTGTGCCGGATTTCATCTTTTTAAAGTAATTTCTAAAAATCGGTATGGGTTACGCCATAGGGTCGCTCCGGATAAAAATTTTACCAATATCACATCGTATTCTTTCATTAAGACTGATAAGCAACCTCTCCACCAAACTTCAGTTCGATATGATGGTTTTGAAAAATCGGTATGGGTCACCCCATAGGGTCACTCAAGATGAAAATTTTTCCAACTTGAAGTCATTTTTATCTCGTAGGAGCCATTAGCAACCTCTGTACCAAATTTCAGCTCTCTATAACAATTTTGAAATTTTGGTGCATAATACCCCACCCACTCCGATGACCCCCACCAGTCAACCACTTGACCGATTTCGCCCATCTTCGAACTCGATTCCTAACTTTGTCCAATATGCATATG